CATCTAAGCACACATAGTAAGTTTTGCTTATTTCGACATCTTAAAAACATCATAATAGGTAGTTGTAATATTGCGCGAGCTATTTAAACAGATGTGTAGATGCAAATGTGTTGATATAACCTTATTAATAAGTAACTTAACTAAGCTATACATGACAAAGTTAATATTGACCCTGCATACAAGTTGGTAATAAGTTGCCATATGTCAAACACGTTTAATGCCACTATTAAGTTTTCGTACTAATGTGAAATTTCCATTGCAGCAGTGGCACTGAATGTGTTAATACTCCGATAATTAGAGAAAAAATCTAATTTTAGATTTGGAAATTGTACTAATTTTCTCGTATAAGGTCTTCCATATAGAGTTAGAGAATTTTTTTTCCCAGTCGTTTTCCTTTCATTTTATATATTGGATGAAGAAAGGATAAGGAAAGGTAATTCTTTAATCGACCAACACAGAGAGTGGTAGATTATGATTGCGGTTTCCTTTCACATGTCCCCTCGCCTCATTGCGCACATGTCAATTTCTGCCATATCCTTTTTATTGCGATGGCATATGAATGTTACAACAAACTTAAGTTTTGCTACTTTATTTTAGATACTCTACTTGATTTAACCAAATTTGTTTATCCTTAATGTTTATATTATCTTGTGATGAAACATTATGGCATATAACGTAAACAATCTAAGTATAAAAGTTGTTGCCATGGGCATGTAAGCCTGTTCCGCCTACGCCGAGACTAATAAATTTTTGTTGTTTTCAACTAACAGAAAAGAAAAAGCAATACATACTTGGAATTGCTTTTTGTTTTATTGCTTGGAGTATTTATTAGTTTTTACTGCATATATTTTTCCGGTTTGTAGTCTTGATTGATATAAAAAAAACTTCATACATTTTAAGCTACCATAAATATGTCGTGTTCAAATTAATTTTTATGCCATGAAAACAATTGATTACATCAAATGAATCGTTAAATTTAAAGAGCAAAAAGGGTTTACTAAAAATTACCTTTATAATTAGAATAAAATACGTTTTTAATTCACTATCTGCTAGGACCAACCCTAGATTAGAACCTAGGGCTAAAATAACTTTTGAAACATAGCACCAAGTCTTTGTTTCCAATATAGAGACTTGACTTAAACTTGTAGCAAACATGATATTGTTTAGCCAATTGCGCTGTTAGACTTAACATGTTTAATATCACCACAAGAGTACATTAAAATGCAACCGCGGTACCCGTGTCGTTAACACAATTACAGTAACCCACATTGTACGCGGTTTAACAAGTCTCATATGTTTTCACATTAGCATAGATGTACTACGTCGCGAGATACGCCACAGTCTAAATAAATACATCTAAAGATAAATTAACGCCTCTGTAATATCTATGCTGTGGTCATTGGTAAGTCACGGTTGTTATATAGGTGATAAATGAATTAGTTAAAGCTTTGTCTAATCTAATTTAAGAGACGCAAAAGAATGACAATACAGTAAGATGATAATGGTAGGACATATTAATTAACCCTTATGAAAACAATATTAATGTAGTTTTTCTAGACAGCGCTCTGTTTCTTATTCACGAGAGTTATAAGAAAAACAATCGAATCAACAAGACTGTAAACTTTTTATATTACGTGATAAAATCGATCAAACCAGTTTTATTGTGTTTTTATTTGATCTTCGATCAAATAGCTATACTTTTTGTGAACGACGAAAACCTGATTTTAAAACGATTTAATCCAAAGCGTATGTTCGTGTGGATTGGCAGAGTAAACCACGCAAGAATAGCTCATCTGCAACATTCGCGATGTCGTCGACACGGCCGCGTGCGTTGAACTGTGCGTGTCCAAACAAGATGCGTATACGAATAGTTGTATGGTAATTAGGTACGTGATGTTTGTATGCTCTTTGTCTAGGCTAGAGGTTTTTACACTTGGGGTAACGGAATATACTGTTTTACTAAATGACCAATGAAGAATGTTGACTGAAAGGACGCCGAATTTTAAGGCTAAATGACGACTATCTATCGTAGGCTATGTTATTTCTATATTATAATGCAAGATATGCGCCTCTGAGGGTAGACGCATTCAAAAATCTTATAAATGCGAAAGTTTATATGGTTCGATGGATGTTTGTTAAAGTTTTCCGCCTATACGGCTGAATAGATTTTGATGAAATTTGGCATATATGTAGAGCATGTTCCGGAGGAAGAACACATAGGCTTACATCCTTTTTTTATTACGCCAAGGAAGTCGCGGGCAAAAGTTAGTCAATAATGAAATCAATAATGTTTGACAACTTTATTAGCAAGACTCATCTGTACTCTACATTGATTTTCCAAAATGGAAACTGTCTTTTTTGTTCAAAGAATAAAAGGTATTAAAGCATTCAACTACAGCTCTTTGTGTACTCATGTGCGCGGATTGCGGCTATAATCCATGTTCCAGTTAGCCCATATAGAGAGCGTAACCGTTCTCAAAGAGCTTTATAAAGATACTGTGTCGCAGTGAGCCGGCCCACAAGCGCAGGTGACATTAATCCTATAACGGTGTATGCTCACCGCTTAGCATTCACAAGGTTATATCTCCTATAGAAAATATGTCCCATTAAGGTGAGTTTATATTTCCTTGATAAAGTTAAGAGAAACGGTGGAAATGACATTTCTGATCCAAATAAATCTGCGCACACTATCGATTTTTAAGGTTTTAAGTGACTATGAATGTGAACTAAATATATTTTTTATAGTATAAAGTGGCAAACGAGCAAGCGGCCACTTAATCCTGAAGCGACCGCTGCTCATAGACATCCGCTATTGCAGATGCGTTGCCTACCCTTAATTGACGGAGGAGGAGACGCACAGAAAGATATTTCCCGTGCCTATGCGTCTCAAAACCACTTTTCCTTCCTATTTTATTCTCTTCAGAATAGGGTGGGAAGAGTAAGGGACTAAATTTAGGCCTTTATCACCACACTCACCAAAGGAAACGCGGAACTGCTTCCACTTCATGCCGTCCGTCCGGCCCATTCGTCCGAAGATGATAAAGCGGGCTCTGCCACTTTTAATGTGTCCATATCAGCTATCATATCTAAGAGGTTAAAACTGCCAACACTGTTATAGATAAAAACAAAAAGACTTCAACCTTAGCACTATGTTTTATCTTGGCAGCAATTAGTATTTATGCTTTGTGCTCGCATTAATGACCGTCCTTGAGAGCAAAGTTGTGTCTTGACTACGCATCAAAAACTCCGCGGCCATTTCGGTAGCACTTGAAAGCACGTTTTTCTCATCTATAATCCATTAGCCTAGTAACTTAGATGAAATCAAGTTGCCAATATTATTATTGGTTACTAATACAAAAATAATTTATCAACTTGCGTTAAAACTTAATAGTATAACGGATAGTTCGGCTTTAATTTGTTTGTTCACCTTTTAAACAGGACCTTTATTTTTTTGACAGAGTTACATTCGTCAAATGTTACAATGAATTTAAAAAAAAGGGCAAAAACACAATTTCCTTTACAAAAGCTTTAGCAATCCCACCGCAAACCAGACTGCTCTGAAATAGGTTAGCAACTATGCTCTTGGCCAACAGAATGGGAATGGAGGACGCGCCGCAAAGCCCGGCTTTTCAATATACCCAGTGACGCTTTGCGAGCTCTGAATATTGTTTCCCTTTACGAACATTTTTAGATTATACCCACTAAAGAGCGCTGTATTGTATGGATCTTTATTTAGTTATGACTAACGTAGCCTTTTTATTACGTTATATACGAGTGGTGAATCAAATTTTACAATTTTGGCACAGATGATGAAGTTTAAAAGAGTTGGTCTTAAGACTCTTCTAAATTATATGATTTGTGTTCAAATATGCAATATAGAACTTAGTGAGAAAACCTTATAGGTAGGGTATCCATGCTTTTTAACCCATTGTTAAAAAAAAACAAAGAAACTTGAAATACCGAGAATCCTTTCGTATAATATAGGCGCATTCGACTGTAGATCCTGGCGTCCTAGTCCATACATCACCTTATTCTGTTACGCGCACCGCTCCCTAATGACGCCACAATCATTACACACTCTACTAAATTGCTCTGCATTCTAATTGTATTATAATACGACTCATTTTGCTATAACCTTGATTCACGTAACTACAGGGAGCGTTGACATCTTTTGTCCGTGTTCTGTGATGCAGCCAGTAGCAACAATGTAAAGGATGTGGCTACTGAAGGCGCGGTTACTGTATTACTAGACAGTGCCCTAAATACTCGTACTTTTATACAATGTAATTGTTACTAAAGAATCCCGTTACATAAATAAGGGCGCTCTGCAGTCCTCTAAACTGACTGGAAAGAATCAGAATCGATTTATTAGAGATAAAATAGTTTTTTTGATCTTTGAGTCAGTTACTTTACAAGTTAATTACCTAATGTTAACGATTATTCTTTTCCAAAAACTTACGGTGGAAAGTAGGTAATATAAGACGAAGAATGGTCTTGAGTCATTGTTTATCAAATAAATGTAAATAACCCGCAATTTAGATAATAATTGAACGTCCGGATGTTTTTAAAGGACTTATCTCAGTATTGTTGGGTCACATTTCTCTACTGACAGTTTCCGGACCTTGCGAATAATATTGTTACAGTGACTCACTTCAACTGACGTGGGCCAGCCTTGGGTTTACTTTTACGTGGACACGATGACACACCTTCATTTAATGGTATAGAAATATTGCAAGAAGTCATTTTTATATGATGCAAGCTGTAGGTCGAGACTTCGCCCGCGTGAAATGTTTTAATCACTGATAACCTAGCATTTTAATGGTGAAAGATTTTTTTAAAATCACACCTGTAGTTTTTGAGTTATTTTAATACATACAAAAATACTCTTTCCTCTTTATAATATTATAATAGTATAGATGTATAAATTTCTTCATTTGTTCGTTAGTGTGAATGTTGTTTTTTTTCTGTTCAATATTTTTAACCATATTATTTCTTTACAGTTAAAGGAGTGAGTGAGGTCATCGATGGGCTTATCGAACTACTAAGCTTTTGTTGGTAAGTTTTGTCTGTTATTGTATGATTACTCTATATGATACACTAAACGGTTTTGTTAAGAAAGAATTTAGCACAAGCTCTGATTAAATATATTACAAATCAAGAATTCAATAGATACAGAACACCGATCTCTTACGTAATTATAGTAAGGAGTTTAAAAGCCACTCAGACTACGATCTTAGGCACTAATGATTTACTAAATCCACATGTTACGGATTTGTCAATACACCAATTTCAAATGCACATATAAAATACGCGTATATTCACAAGCTTTAGTCAAAGACGTTGCTCTAACGAGGTGTATAATTAAACGTTGGTCGTGAGTGATGTACGGTAGGATTCTCTAACGAGGTCCCAGCGGCGCGTGCTGAACGTGACTAATCAACTAGGAGCGGTTGCACTGCACCCTGTCTAGTCGAGATCGACGATTTTAAGGATATGTATGTACAATCAGGTAAACTGGCGGTGTTCCACTTTAAAAGCTACAATGGTTTGAACATTTTGAGCGAGACGCGGGACATAAATCAATACGACGCAGGTTATAAATGTCTGTAGGAATAGAAAGACAGTGATACACAGCTAGTTTATTTTTATTATTATATCTTTGTTTACACCACTTACTGCTTCTCAATTATTGGAGGAAAAGGACGAGATTGTCTCGTTACAATGAACAAGGCAATTTTTCCTGAAGTGGCACACCGCGAATTTCCGCGACTGTACCTATGTGAAGTTAATAAACATGCGAAGTTCTGGTACTATGTATGTAATATTTGTACTCCCCTAATTGATGATATTCTTGTGTTTTTGTTCAAGCGGATACTGACCTTTATAAGAAGTAAGAAGTAAGCGTAACGTGTTGGCATTTAACGTTTTGCTGATGCTCTTTTAGTAATAAGTATCTTCTAACATTTAACACAATAAAGCATTCTATGAGAACCGACCTTTCAAAGACTGATACTTCAGTCTATAATGCCATGAAAAACTTTGAATAAAAAAACAATAAGAAGGAAAAAGTAACAAAGTACAATTACCTGAACAACTAAAAAACAGAGGAAGAATTTGAAAAGAAAGTGTCGACTGAAATAACTTTTTTATAGATAAAATTAACAGTTTAAAACATTGATAAATCTAAAAGGCTTTTATAGTGTTCAGTCTATTCGTGTATAGTTCTAATAAAGTAAACAATAACACAAGAATCCCGAGGTCGATTACTAACAATATTAACTGTTTAGTGTTTAGAAATGGCGACGTGGGCCGCTAATGCGATACAACAACAAACTGCGCACGTGGTAGCAGCACGTTTATTGTTATGTAAACGGAAACCACCAACATAACAACTCTGAAAATACAGTAAGAAGGTATGTTAGGGGAAGACTGATTTTTCTCGTGATGTGTCTGTTTTGTTGTTACGGATTCGACTTTTCCTCAACTTATAAAAAGTTATACACAGCTTATGTAATAGAGTACATATTACTGTCCGGTTCTCATCGATATTACAAACTTTTATTCCTTATTCATTAATTTATTACTGGTTAACCTCCGAAGTGAATTTTGGTTTATGAAATGGGAAATTCTTACATTATTGGTATTCTTTAATTATCTTAATACTAGCTGTTCCTGTGCGGCTTCACCCACATGAAATTATAAAAACTTTATTTTATTGTTTACATTTATCAAATTCTCTATTGCAAATGTCAAAATACCAATAACCATGGCAATCTTGCTTCCTTGATGTTGGCAGCAACTTATGGTCTCTTTCCCACATTAGGATTTTTATCCAAGATATTTATCCCCTAAGTTTAATGGCGTGAAAATATATAGCCTAAAGCGTGACGTAAGTGTAGGGCTTTTTATTAAACAATGAAATATTAAAAATATGTTGTTATTGCTGACATGTTAGGCCACTAAGAAGTGCGTGTTTACGCTTTATTATAATAGTATAGATTTTAAGAAATAAATAAGATGATACTTATCGGTTCAATATTTGAACCGCTTGAGATAGTTCGTAGTTGTAATGAGGCAAAGCAAATCAAAAGCAAGATAATTAAGTCTGCTGATACGCTTCATTCAACTGCTACAAGGATGTATTTATCGACCATTGAACTTCAAGCACCTTTCTAAAATTTTAATTGTACTGTTTCCGGAGAAACCATGTACATGATGAAATTGAGACAGGAATCCAAGATTCTAAACATATTTTTTCAAAGTATTACTTTGTCTAGAGTAATATAGACTGCCATGAGTTTGTAACAACCTAGTCAATTTAAGACCTATGATTATGACCTAGATTCTATTTGCGTAAGTAATTGTATCTCGATACCCTCTTTCCCAGTCAATTATCTAGACTCAGTTTCAATTCCATCAGAGTTTGTCACGGTTTCCTTTCCTTATTCGTGAATTGACAAGGACAACTACCCCGTCACATTGTCCGTGATTTAACACTTTAAATAATGAGGCTCAAAGGAAATTAACTTTTTCCTGGTTATTTTTGATGTATTGTGTTTATTTTGTTTCCTTCACATTCTATAGATCAAGGATTTTTCACGACATGTCATAAAATGTCGCAATACAATGACTCAATTGACGATCATTGAAGAAAAGGTCAATATTATTAAAATGTTTGTAAGAATAGCATAGACAATTACAGTTTTTGAATGACAGCAATGCACGTGTAGAATTGATGGAGGTAAGTAACATAAGTAAATGGATTAATTATAGACTTGTCAAAAAGTAACTCTGGGAGACAACTATGAAAATCACGTTTTTATTGCCCGTTATAGTCAATTTAAAACAGGTCGCTTTTACCGCTCTTGCATCTGTATGCAAACGGCGACATTAAAAAAGAACTAAATAGCAGTACCGTTTACAAAAGTGCGCTCTGATTCCTTGCTCTACGTTCCGACGTGTGTTTCACTTTTGTACGCTTTTAATTTACTATTACACGGTGAAAGTTAATGTTGGCAGCATTTTGATTGAATACCACTGGAGAAGTTACGTTTTCTTTTTTTTGTCAGTTATATGATATGTGAAGTCAGAGGGAGAGTTCCGTTTTTCCTGGGAAGTTTAAGTTCCGGTGCGTTACTTGCCCTGAACCCTCGATTTGCACTTGAGGGACTTTTAGTGAGTCAAATCCCACATAATCCTGTCTTCCTACCAGAAGGCTTCTTTGGAAGATTTCCCCCCCGACATCGTAGAAAAGAGGCTGGGAAAATATCTCTGGATTTAATAAATATACTGTAAAGTAACGTAAAATTAACGAGGATGGTAGAACAAGCTCTGATCGATTCAGTAATCAAATATTGGTCCGCCGGCGCCGGCGAGTGGCAATCACTCCCTTTGATGTCGTCTCTCTAAATCTATCAAGTTTTATCGATTTTAATAGCAATTTTCTATCAATTTGCAACACTGAGTTTTATAGACGCGGTAAATAAACTCGATTCTGCTTCGGATTTCTGGTTAATTTCTTAGATTTCTAAACCAGTGCTTTTGACGATAAAATTTCCTATTACATTTGCTTTGTCATTTTAACTCTGTTAAAAGCACAGTACACAAATAAATGAATTCCAGGTAAACAAACAATTATTTTCTTACAAATGTTAATTAAAGCAAATTAAATGTTTTCCTTGTCTTAATTAAATACTGCACTTAACATCTTGCTCAAGAACTAATTTAATTTTTCCTTTAATTGCCCTTCGTCTCTGGTAAGACTCTCGTTTTGAGACTTATTACTGCTAAAATAAGACTATAGCAATCAAATCAGGAATATAAATTTAATTAAACATGGAAAATGTTATTAAATTCAACTAAATTAATTGAAAGCGAGTAGCAAAATTATTAAAACAAATTTTGTTGCCCGATTGTTGGATGGCGACGTGTCAAGAACACTGCAGTATTTTAACGTTGTATTTAACGGAATATTCATCTATTATTTTCATAATATTGCTATGTAGGGATATGTAACGGACTCGGATTATTCCCAACCGTCACCCCGCTCTGTCCCCACGTAAGAATAAAATGTTTTACGACCCACCTTTTAGTCCCACTATCACCAATAAGGTGACAGATGGAACCGTTATGATATAAAATAAGTTCCAATCGTCCTCTCGTCGCAGAAGGTGGGACGGATGAAACTTTTTGTTGTCATCTGTTGCCAAGTGGGGACAGAGTAGGGTGACGGTTGGAAATAATCCACGGACCCCACGTTTATTTTTAAGAAGTGCTTTCAATGTTAAAGTAGGCGGATAAAAGGTTTTTATTGCGTTAAACGTTTTCATAATTTAAACTTAAGTACGGAATTTCGTGTACAAAGAAAAGTTTTCATAATTTATTACTCTTAAAATTTGTTTATTGAAAAAGTTTTTCTTTTCAGGTATTTTGAGGCTTTCAAACAAATTCTGTGTTTATTTTCAATTTTGATTTAAATTTTATTGGGTAACTTTTGTAATATCCAAGTCGGTTTTATCGCAAATTTAGTTTTCAAAGTTTTGCAATTGCTTGCTTAAATTGAACATATAATTCGCATTCAATAAAATGTTAGTGGATTATTTCTTTTGCTATCGATGACCTACGTTCTTTCTTATGGTGATTATTCGATTGACTGTGACTTTTTTTACATCGCAGGATTTAAAAACGTGCATAAAATTTGACATTTTATTCCATAGCTATCACATTTAGATAAAAATATTATGCTCCAGTTAAGCATTACTAGTGTACCATTATAAGATTTTAAAAAATTAGACGACGTATCTTTTTATTAGATGCGTAAGTATTAAAAATGGGGCCCAACTGCAAGCAATACCTTTCGGATAAAAAAAGAATTATCGCAATCGGTCTACCTGGAGCGGAGTTATGCCTTAACACACATAAAACAAATATACAGACGAATTGAGTACCTCCTTCTTTTGGGAAGTCGTTCAAAAATACCTGCATGAAAAACTTACAGGCGTTGATAATCTACGTATTCAGTACGTATTTCCTCGGTCGCATCAGTCATTTATTTT